AAGGATCGTGTAAACTGATTTTGAGTGAATTTGGCTTTGGTGATGTGCAGAGGAACTTGTCAGAATGCACACGGCTACAACAACACGGCATTCAAAGGATAACACATTCTTCTGTTGAACCCTGATTGAATCATGAGATTGCTCTGGCGACCAACAAACGAGTATTGTTCCTGCAGCATTGTTTCAAGTGTACTTTGCTTTTCCAAACACGTATTACTGCCTCAGTAATATCTGGCTCAAAACTTCTAGCTTCAATCTGGGTAATTTTGGTGTAAAACCCTTACTGAATAACCTGGATAGGAACTAAACTGTAGCTAACAATAAACTGGTGAACAGTGATTCATTATTGTCAGGCCTCAAGGTTTTGGTTGTTATGAAATTGGTCAATAAAAGAGAGAGAGAGAGAGAGAGAGAGAGGAGGTCTGTCTATATGTAAAATAGTTAATGTGCCAGTAGATGGTGCTCAAGAATATGCACTACTGTTCCTGAGCTTTTCAGGAGCAAAGCAGCTTTTGTATACTGCAAATGGGATTCAGTGGCTGGGCTGAATGGGCGTGGGGCTACGCAAAGGATCACTGTTCCTTCTGCTTGCTGGTTTTTTTGGCTTTAATCAAACACTCCTTTTGGGCTCATCTTATTTATTGCACAATAGTTAGGGAATCAGTTAACCATGTTTAGTTAATAAAGCTGTTGTATGAGCATAAACAATCTTTATGCGTGGTGTTTTATTCACCTGCATGTCCTGATCAAAAGGCTTTTTAAAGGCCTTGATATTGACTTAGTGCTATTAAGAACATTTGGAAAGCTGGGCATTGGTAGTAGATCCTGCCAGTTTCTTTCACTGTGTTCTATAAGTAGCCATTCTTGGAATAGCTCTCCTTCCTGATCTAAGTGTTGTCAAATGAACTATGTCAGATTTATGTGGAAGCTGAAAAAATTCTAGTCTGAACTAATACAGTCTGATTCAGATTAAATCGTTTTGCCTGGCAAATTTAGCAGAGCATCCATCATTGTTTCTTTCCATTATCTTGTTAAGAATCTGGATAGCCTGTCTGCTTTATGAGGCAGTTAATTTCTTTGTTTGCCCTAATAGAAACATGTGAGACACAGTTAAGAAAACAAAGGCTGTCTTGCTTTCTATTATTTTGGTTGGGATTATTTTGGTTTTGGTAATCCGAAACAGGTTTATATGGCATTTCAAGAATGGGTACGAGTTAAATTTTGGTTGACATTGGAGAGAGAAAAATGGCAAGCTTTGGAAAAGCAAATCCAGCTGGCTGCTTGGTCAGTCAATTGCAGGAATTCAATTAAGGTTTTAAAAGTTGTTTTTCAGTTTGGATGCAAGAGAGAGAGAGAGAGAGAGAGAGAGAGAATAGAAATACACACTTATTTTACCATATAGAATGTGTGTGTGTTG